GAGGAGGAGAAGGAGGAAAGAGGAGGAGGAGGAGGAGGAGGAGAAGGAGGAAAGAGGAGGAGGAGGAGGAGTGGAAGTAGGAGTAGGAGGAGGAGGAGTAGGAGTAGGAGGAGGAGGAGGAGGAGTAGGAGGAGGAGGAGGAGGAGTTGGAGTAGGAGGAGGAGGAGGTGGAGAGAGGTATGGGGATGATGATGATGATGATGATGATGATGATATGAGGAGGAGGAGGAGGAGGAGGAGGAGTAGGAGGAGGAGGAGGAGGAGTAGGTGAGGAGGAGGAGGAGGAGGAGGAGGAGGAGGAGGAGGAGGAGGAGGAGTTGGAGTAGGAGGAGGAGGAGGTGGAGAGAGGTATGGGGATGATGATGATGATGATGATGATGATGATGATGAGGAGGAGGAGGAGGAGTAGGAGGAGGAGGAGGAGGAGTAGGAGGAGGAGGAGGAGGAGGAGGAGGAGGAGGAGGAGGAGGAGGGGAGGAGAGGAGGAGAGGAGGAGGAGGAGGAGGAGATAGGGATTGAGATGATGATGATAATGGTGATGAAAAGGAGGTGGTGGTGGAGTGGGAGAGGAGGAGGGAGAAGGGAGAAGGAGATGAAGTAGGAGGGGGAGGAGGACAAGAAGGTGGTGGAGAAGTGGGAGAGGAGGAGGAGATGGAGGGGCAGGGATAGGCGGGGGAGGGAACGGAGGAGGAATAAGAGGAGGAGGAGGTGGAGTGGGAAAGGAGGAGGAGAGGAGGAGGAGAGGAGGAGGAGGAGGTAGAGGAAGAGAAGGAGGAGGAGGAATAGGAGGTGGAGTAGGAGGAGGAGGACTAGAAGAAGGTGGTGGTGGTGGAATGGGAGAGGAGGAGGAGGTGGAGGAGGAGGGGCAGAGAGAAGTGAGGCGGGCGGAGGGAAAGGAGGAGGAGGAGGAGGAGGAGGAGGAGGAGGAGGAGGAGGAGGAGGAGTCGCACCAAAACGCACCGAATGCTACCTCACTCTCGCCCGAATTCTGCCACGTCACCGTCCGCCGCCCGCCTCTCGGTAGAATGACTCGGCAGTCCGCGAGAGCAGCCCGGCATGACACTGCACCTTGAGCCAGTCTTTGTTTTTGTTTAGCAAGTAGCGGGCGAACAGCGAGCGCCGCGGAGGGACAGAGCCAGCCCGCCCTTGCTGCATGACGGCCGAGTCCAGGGGCGACGCCGTTGCACACGTGCTGCAGCTGTGTGTGTGTATGTGTGCATGTGTGCGCGGGTGTGTGTGTATGTGTGTGGGTGCCACTGATGTTGCCTGGTGTTGTGGGCCCATAAGAGCGGTGTGTGCTGCGTGAGGTGGCCGCGGCCGTGCTCCACCCCACTAAGCAACAGGGCCGGCGGTCTTTGGTGTGATGACAAACAGGGCTGGAGGACTGGAGGAGAACGTCGCTCGCTGTGTTCAGTTATCCTTCCGTGATCGGGCGAGGAACATGTGTTGGCGGTGGTGAGAGTGACGCGAATCGAAAACAAGGAGGTCCACGGGAGTGCTCTTTTGTTCTCTAACGACGCCGCCCGGAGATACCTTGCCATCTAGAGCGACGAGGCCGAAGCCGCAGTCATCGAGAGAACCATGAAAACGCACGTAAGTCATCCCAATCCGAACGTTGAATCAGACATTATGCATGTTGTCTTCTCCGTATGCGGGAACGCGTACCATGACAGTGAGGAACCACAGGGCCCTTCCCCGTCCCCTCCCCTTCCTCCTCCGCTAACCCCGGCCCTGCCTCCTAACCCCGCTGAGTCATGCTTGCTCCCCCCACACAACCTCGCAGATCTGACACAACCTCCCCTCCCCCTGTGACACAAACCTTAATAACGCATTTGTTCGCCCTGTTGACAATCGTATTTTCTTTTTGGGTTCTGCCGCACGCGTTTTCCTTGATCTAGTTCAGGCATTGCAAGACTCTCCTTTCGTCTGGATGCGTCAGCGAGGAGCTCTGGGCACTAATCCCACTCTTCGGTCCTACCACAACCTATTCCTTCTTAAGTGCAACCACGCTGACACTTATTTCCAAGCTGCATTTCCTTTCCTATATGACTATTCTACACATCAAATCCATTCATATCATGCCTTCGGTTTCTAAATTTCAATAAGTCGGTATTATTTCTTCACACTTGTCTAAATCTCATGCGAATGATTAAAATAATTATTACAAAAGTGAGATTGCATGACGTGTTCTCATGACTCTTAGCAGTTCAAACCATAAGGAGGTGGAATTACGTCATTCGCTCTTTTATCCAATATGGTCATATCCGGTCGCCTCCGCCCCAACAACCCGTAGGAATCTCGCCACATCATCCTCTGCCCAGTCATGTCCTGCATCACCTCCTCCCGGTAGGAAATGCGCGTGCATCTTTGTCCTGCCAGGGCCCCAGACACGTCCCCCTCGCCCTCTCGAAATCCCTTCAAATACTGTTTGTTTTTGTGCATCTTTGTGTGGCCAGCTTCCCAAACTCACGCCCCTAATGCCCCTCCCGAAAACCCTTCC